TACAAGCATCTTAGAAAAATGAAAACGCATGCATGTAAGAATCTGTATTTGTTGATGCTGGATTTTGACACCAACTACTCGCACATGTAAAATGCTAAAATGACTTAGAAGTCACATGTGATATAAGGGAGTTGAATTAAACATAAAGTGAAGAACAATATTTAAAGTGGTTCGGATGCTCAAAAGCGAATCATACACCCACTGCTATTGTATTAATAAAAGAAGGATCAGGTCACATTCAGCTAGCTAGTTATAATTTGAGAGAGAGAGAGAGAGAGAGAGAGAGTTATTTAAGTGTAAAATTAGCTAATCCCCCTGAATGAGAGGGTAGTCCTCTATTTATAGTGGGAGAGTTCAAAGTAATTGTTATGCTTGAAAGGGTAGGGCCGACGTAGAGCCCCATCAGTAAAGTATGGTAAGAGCTCACTAGGGTTCTGTGCCATCCAGGTGCAGCCACGTTGCACCCAGCGCAAGTGGCATGGCTCTTGTCAGTGCAGTAGGTGGGCGCCAGACCAACAAGCGGCCGGAGATCGCCCACATGTCAAAACCCTGCTTTAGTCAAGGAAATCCCTCGGGCAGGTGAACAATGGGACACAGAGAAGGATTTGCACGACACCTACCCACTTACAGCCTTTGCAATCATTACCCTGAACTCTCCCACTATAAATAGAGGACTTCCCTCTCATTCGGGGGGATTAGCTAATTTTACACTTAAATAGCTCTCTCTTTCTCTTTCTCTTGTATTCTCACTCAAATTGTAACTTAGCTCGCTGAATGTGACATGATCCCTCTTTTATTAATACAATAGCAGTGGATGTAGGATTCACTTTTGAGCATCCGAACCACTTTAAATACTGTTCTTCACACTGTGTTTAATTCAACTCCCTTATATCACGTGTGACTTCTAAGTCCTTTTAGCATTTTACACGTGCGAGTAGTTGATGTCAAAATCTAGCATCAATAGTTTAGCGCTAGAAGGAGGGCCTGATTTAGTACCTACTCTTCATCAAAGAAATCTCTGACTAATCGGTCCCATAACAGCAAATGGCTTGTGGCTTCGAATCTGAGCGAACCAACCAGGGTAATGAAGTAATCCCCTAGGCACAAAGTGCCACTAGTCCCACAGAATATCTTGGGGGATATTCCTTCAAGCTCACAGTTCGACGCAGCCGTCATGAGCTACCTGGAGAGGTTCAATAATACTCTTCAAACGGTTAGCCGAAGGCTAGACCGATTAGATCGGGTCATGCCACCCAAATTTAATGAGGAAATTCAATCGTTGCATCTCATTGGATTCGGGTGGCATGACCCGATCCAATCGGTCTAGCCTTCAGCTGACCGTTTGAAGAGTATTATTGAACCTCTTCAGGTAGCTCATGACGGTTGCGTCGGGCTATGAGCTTGAAGGCATATTCCCTAGGATATTCTGCTGGACTGGTGGCACTTTGAGAGAAGTGTCCTTCTGTACCTAGGGGATTGCTTCATTACCCTGGCTAGTTTGCTCAGATTCGAAGCCATGAGCCATTTGCTGTTATGGGACTGATTAGTTAGAGATTTCTCTGATGAATAGTAGGTACTAAATCAGGCCTTCCTTCTAGTGCCAAACTGTTGATTCTGGATTTTGACACTAAATACTTGCACTTGTAACATGCTAAAAGGACTTAGAAGTCACACGTGATATAAGGGAGTTGAATTAAACACATAGTGAAGAACAGTATTTGAAGTGGTTCGGATGCTCAAAAGCGAATCCTACATCCACTGCTATTGTATTAATAAAAGAGGGATCAGGTCGCATTCAGCAAGCTGAGTTACAATTTGAGTGAGAATACAAGAGAAAGAGACAGACGGACAGATAAAGCTATTTAAGTGTAAAATTAGCTTATACCCCCCAAATGAGAGGGAAGTCCTCTATTTATAGTGGAAGAGTTTAAGGTAATGATTGCAAAGGCTACAAGTGGGTAGGTGCCGTGCAAATCCTTCTCCGTGTCCCATTGTTCACCTGCCCAAGGGATTTCCTCGATGAAAGCAGGGTTTTGACATGTGGACGATCTCCGACCGCTTGCTAGTCTGGCGCCCACCTACTGCATTGACATGAGCCATGCCACTTGCGTTGGGTGCGACGTGGCCGTGCTTGGATGGCATAGAATCCTACTGAGCTTTGACCATACTTTACTAATGAGGCTCTATGTTAGCTCTACCTTTTCAGCCATAACAGTATCACTACAAGAAAAAGTACTTTTTGCAACCAATTTTTTTGCAACTAGGCGAAAATAGTTGCAAATGCCCCACATTTAGTAACTAAATTCCAATCGGTCAGCTAAAGGGAAATAAAATTCTAGGGCCCATTTATTCTCGTCTTTAGCATCTAAAGTTAATATTCTGCTATTAATTTGATTTGTTACCAAAAATATCACATTAGCAACTAATTTATTTGGCTGTCAATTCTTACATGGTAAATTTTCCCAGCATTACAACACAATTGAAAACTACAATAAGAGATTCAACAACTAAAATTATGGTTACAGAAAATAATTACTTGTAACTACTGAATATAGATGCAAATATTTATTAATTAATTCGTAACTATTTTTATTAGTTACAAAATAATACAACTACTGAAATATCCAAGCTTCTAACAATAATTACAAAGGGCCTAAGGTACATTTGGCAACTAATTATTTTGTGCATATTACAATAGATGCAAAAACTCATGTATAGCAACTAAAATGTATTTAGTCGCTAAAAATTGGTGAATTTTTTTGGGCCACACTTTCCCAGAAAATTAAAAAATAATATTTTAATTTGTGACTGAAATTACTATTGCATATCTAATTAGTTAGTTGCAAATTATCTTCTTTTAATAACTAAGATTTTAGTTGCCAAATGAATAGTAAATTTTGCGAGTTTGGGCGCCCCATGTTCCCACTTGAAATAAATTGAAATTTTTGGTATGTTATTTTGACAACTAAAGTTATAGTTGTTAATATGATTTTTTTACAACCAAAATGTTAGTCACTAAATATTATTGATTAAAAATGATATATACTACTAGTAACCAAAATCTAATTAGTTACAAAAAGTTAAGATATCAAAAATTTGACAGTGGCAACTACAACATTAGTTGCAATTTTTTTTTCTACTAAAATATTAGTTGCAATTGATGGTTTACATAACATGAAAGTTACAGATGGTGACTAAAACTGGTTGTTGCAAATAACTAATCAAATAAATAAATGCCTATGATTTTAGAAACAATTACTAAAAGCCCATCCTATATAAACCCAACTTAAAACCAAATCCCTAATACCCCAATTTCCCAATTCTTACTCGAGTCCTCTTCTTCTCCACACACTCCTCTGTATCCAGTTTCCCTCTTCACTTTACCATCTCCTGGATTCTACTTTTGCCACCTACATTACCCCATTGAAGGTAACTTTTTTTTATTTTTATGTCAAAACTTATTCTTTTACAGATGGTATTTCGGTTTTATTGTTTTATTTTCAATTCATTTCTTCACAACATTTGCTTTAATTTGTTTAAGTATTTGTTGTTTATGACGTTCCTAAATGGTTGGTTATAACTTCGTAATGGGTGATTTTACTTTTATCTTCTCTTTCATCTAACATTGCAATGGCTTTTATAATTGTAATGGGTGCTTTAAATTAATTTATTGTTGCTGATAAACAAATGGTGTTTGATAATATCTATTTATTTTCTTAATTGGGTATTTAAGTTTTCTGTTTTATGGATACTCATTCGAGACATATTCATATTCATCGATTTATCCAACTAAGGTTCGCATTTTTATTCACTTTCTTGTCCTTTAGATTTTTTATTTTATTTTCTATACATTTATTTTTGTGTATCTTCTGGGAATTTTTTAAACTGTTTTGTGGGTTTGTTCTTTCGATCTCTTTTTTGTTTAGGTTTTGATTTGAGTGTGATTTAATTCTTTCAGAGGTAAGCTTTAAAGGGTTTTCT